TTAGCAACTCTGCATGAGGCTGATTGAATCTGTGTAGCCCACTCGCACAGTCCGCTTTGCAGGACATTGTAAGTAATTGCCCATAAGCCTCTGCTCCCCTGCGCTGGATCTTCAAGCCAATTAGGCCTATCAGAGCCACCCACCCTGACCGTTTAATGCCTGCGCTTGCTTGTTGACCTTTAGCAGTGCGTGCTTTGAACGGGAGGTCTGAAGGAGTTGGCGTTTTCATGGCATCTCAAGGGTTGTCAAATGAGGGATCGTGATTCTTAATCTTACGCTGCAAATAGTTCAGGGTTCAATTATTGCTTGTCCGTGCAATCTAGACTGTACTCAATGGTTTCAAAATAATAACACAGATAGGTCAGGTTAATAGCGAGCAAGTTGAGAGGTCTTAAAAATGCGAATATGTTTAGCACAGATTTTCCCTATTAGTTTTCCTATGTAAAAAGTCAGATGAGTAGTAAACCTACTACAGAGCTATTAAAATGGGGGTGAGGGAGTACTTTGCTTCCTCGCAAATGAAAGTACAGCAGATTTTTTTTATATATGTTGTGAAAATAATTATAATATTATTAATAATATTCCGCTGTGGCGACCCCAGATTAATAAAGGGACTAAGTCAAAAAGAAAAAGAATGAATGAATGAAAAAGGTTATAAAATGCAGATTACAAAATGCATGCTCTAATCAGCAGTCTATTTTGTTACAAGATTACTGGTTTTGAAACTTAATTTTAACTTAATCTGAATACTTTGAATACTTGAATAACGTGCATTTACAATGTACAAATATTAATAACCAACAAGTCTGTTTGAAAGCTCATAGCAGGGGTTCCCACTGGTCATGGAAATTGTGGAATTGAATGCAATTTTAAAAGGTCTGTTCCAGACATTGAAAGTCAGAGTTTTTTTTTTCTTTTTTGTCAAAGTCATGAAATATCAGGGACTTTTTTGATTGTTTGACACTTTAAAGTTTAGTCTCCATTTAAAAGAAATTAATTTTGAAAAAATGGAAACTAAAATTTCAAGTGTCAAACAATAAGAAATCCCTGATATTTCATGACTTTGACAAAAAAAGGTTTTTTAATCACACTTTTTTGCTGTGGTTAGGCTCACCTCCATCACAGCAATCTCTTAAATCATTTGCAGTCACCAGACTTACATGCCAGGTAATGTAAATGTTAGCAGCTTTGGCTTCAAATGACCATTTCAAATATAAGGTGTTTAAAAGGTTAGATGACAAAAACATTTAAACCTTAAGTTTGTAAACCTACTACAGAGCTATCACAAATGGGAGAGAGAGCACTTCACAGCCACGCAAAAAGTAAGTAGCTTTGATTATTCTTTTAATCTGAAGAAAACTACAAATTGTTTTTCTCAAAGTGGTTATTAAAGTTCTGCTGATTCATTTTCATAAGCTAAAACAATTTTAAAATTATGTAAAACACAACAACGGTCTGTTTGACCATAATGTAAATTCAGCTTTTTAGTCAGTGAAAGTGAAGGAATTTTATATTTGGCATCGAGTGGCAACCCTGTCTTGATGTAAATCTTGATGCTTTCCTGAGGACTGTATTTTCCTGAATACAGTAGACAATTAATTTTGTTTTTAAACTATGATTGACCCAATTAATGTATGGCTATTTATAAGATTAGCAGAGTCCTGACCTGGATTAGGCTTTATTCCCGCGCAGTGACATAAATATTATAATACAATGTATTGTTGGAGAAACTAGATAGTCACCTAAACACTGAACAGCATTGTTCAAATCTAGATAGTCAAAATTTGGACTGATACAGAAAATCATTTTGAAAGCCAATAGTTTAAATCTCTATATGAGTTTTGCTTAAAAGTTCCTTGTTTAAAAGGAGATATTAATGTGTAATACACATTCAATTATTTACTCAACTGTCACTTGTTCCAAACCTGTTTGAGTTCCCCTTTTCTCTTTAAGACAAAATAAGTTATTTCAAAGATGTTGTGTAACCATTGACTGTGTATTGATTTATTATATGGAAGTCAATGGTTACAGGTTTCAAACATTTTTCAAAATATCTTCTTTTGTGTTCAACAGAAAAAGGAACCCTAAAGGTATGCAAGCATTCGAGAGAGGGTACATAGTGAGTGAAAATGGGATTTGGAGAAAGTGGAAGTAGGGCTAGCATGAGGCAATCCAATCTGACCACACAGGTTAAAAACCCTTTATAAGAGTAAACTCAAGATGATGGAAATCAATGTCTGAATGTGTGGAACAAACTCAGCCTGCACCACACCATTACCACACAAAGAAGAAAAAGGCAAATTTGGGCAAGGAAGCAGTTAATAGCAGCAAGATGGATCTGATTGATTAGTGGTGCTTGAGACTAATAAGGGAAGGTGTGGTCTCTTGTTGAGGAGTGCAGTCCAAGGCCACAATCTTCCCAACAGTGAGTAAAGTTTCACTTTTAGTTAAACAACCCTTAAAGAACACGACCACGTGGAGGATAAAGTAAGCTTATGCTAAACAACAACACAAAATGATACCTTTACTCAGTGTTTTTGACTAAGATAATTCATTTAGCTGCTCAGACTGTTGGAGAGATTATCTTAAACTAGCAATATCCAGTTTAAAAGGACAGTTCACCCAAAGTGAAGATTTACTCGCCCTCGAGTGATTCCAAAACCTTTATTAGATCTTTATTCTGTTAAACACTAAATAATATATTTGACTTCCATAGTAGGGAAAACAAACACCATGGAAGTCAGTGGTCACATGTTTTCAGATTTCTTGAAAATAGATTGTTTTCTGTTCAACTGAGGAAAGAAACTTTGGAGTTGGAAAAAGTAAAGGATGGGTAAACAGAGACAAAATGTTCAGTTTTGGGTGAACTATCTCTTTAAAACAGTTCCTTTTATGCTACATTTAGCTATTTTTTCAACAGAAAATTGGCGTAAAGTATAGCCTAAAGTCATGTTTCCTGGAAAACTAAGAAGGATATGCTTAAAACAAGAACAAATCTGCCTGTGAGGTTAAAAAACAAACAAAAAAACTTTGGTTTATTTTCGAATTTAGCCTTTCTTTTCTTTTCTGACTGGCATGCTTTTTAAGTACAGCTATAAACTCTTGATACTTTTTTTTTAACAGGGCTCAGTTGCCTTCAATAAATAGATCACAAGTAATCAGGTAATCACATCTAAACCATATTTAGTCGTTTCTACCAAGGACAAAAATAGAGAAATACTGAGTAAGAAACTGATTTATTGCAGAGCTAAACGATGGTAAAGCTATGGTTTCAAGCCTTTGTATTCACACATATCCATCATTTTCCCTAAGTGTTGATAAAAACTGACTGGATATTATGTTAAAACTGCAGGCATTGTACATTCTGTTGTGTTGTTTTAGATTTATATAAGAGATCCCACATAGAAACTTCTAGTCTTCAACTGAGGCTCATGCTGTTTTTTATTAATACTGCAAGTAATGCTGTGAAAAACTATTTGTCTTCTGTGAAAAAAAAAAAAAACTCTCCTCCTTTTTCTCTCTCTCTCTACCTACGTTTTCTGCCAGGAGACAGAGCTGGAGTTCGTGGGCAGTGACTCCTCTGGACCTGAAAGGAAAGACTGCAGACAGCGAACGATTCCAGGTGTGGGAGAAAAATGTTGTAGAGGCTCTCAAAGGGAAAGCGAGCAACGTGGACGAAAGGGAAATCAGAGCGCGCGCGCCATCTGTCGGTGAATGTCGGTCAGTTACAGAATGACGCATTTATTTCTTTTCTTTTTAGTCCCTTTATTAATCTGGGGTCACCTAAGCGGAATGAACCGCCAACTCCAGCATATGTTTTACGCAGCGGATGCCCTTCCAGCCACAACCCATGACTAAGAAACGACGCATTTAAATGTCTAAATCGATTAATTTGAAACTTGAAATTGTTTTCTTAATTTATTCATGTGAGATAATGACCAAATAATGAAATTCCTTAAATATGTAATAACACAAATACTTTTATATTATGAATTATAAATTTACGAATTTATAGACACGATTTCTGCAGGTTTTACCGAGTCAAATTTAAGACTTTTTAAGAACTTTTTAAGACCTTGAAGAATGAGAATCTAGACTTGCATCGGACTAAAAGCTAAGGATTTTTAAATGCTCAAGCTGAAAAATATGTTCTTTGCCCATTAAACAATTAATTCTAGTTAGTTTGTTAGTTTATTATTAATTTGTTAATTAGTTTTATAATTAACTAGTTATTTTATATTTCCTATATTTAAAATAATAATATGTCAAAACAAGCAGACCCTTGCTGTATCTCTTTAATATCTAAAACAGGTTGTTATAATATTAGTTATGAATCTTGTTTGGCTAAAATATTTATTGAGATGTATTGTTGGGGATTGGGTGTGTGTGTTAGATCGATTTGGTAGCTTTTCATTTGTTCATTTTCCTTCAGCTTAGTCCATGATTTATCAGGGGTTCCCACAGCGGATTGAACCGCCAACTACTCTGGCATATGTTTTACGCAGGGGATGCCCTTCCAACTGCAACCCAGTACTAGGAAAGGTATAAACTAAGAAAAATTGAGACCTGCTGAAAACGATTTAAGACCTACAAGATAATATTTCAGTTTTTAAGGCCTAAAACTGTGTTTTTGAAAGTTAAGACATTTTAAAAACTTCTTAAGACTATGCAAATACCCTGATTGACAATTAGTTCAAATAAAATTTACAAATTGATTGTTTATGTTTTAAGTGTGTGTGTGTGTGTGTGTGTGTGTGTGTGTGTGTGTGTGTGTGTGTGTGTGCGTGCGTGCGTGCGCGCGTGCGTGTGTGTGTGTGTGTGTGTGTGTGGATACAATATTTAATAAATATAATAATAAATTGTATTAACTATTTAACATTAACTTTAATAAATCTAAGTAAAATACTTAAATGAATTAAGTGTAATTATTTAATCAATATTATTTAAATTTGTATTAATAAAAATTTCCAGTCAGATGATCCACATATGTAAGGTACAAATGCAAGTACAACACTGTTTATTTATTTTGATTTTTACTTTATTTGAATTTATCTGAGTAACATATTTTCCCTCTTCCATTTCACATACATTTCACATTCATTTATACCACAGCATACATTTCCATACAGTTTCTCGGGTCTTCCAGGTGATACAAGATTTACCAGAAAACCTTCATTAAGTATAAAAAATGTTTAAAACCATCTATCATAAAACAACAACCCAATCTTTCACTTGTTACTCCATTAAATTCTTGCTCATCTCTAAAAAAAGTGTAGTACAAGATACAGGCTTTGTGCATTTCCCTATAATCCAGTAACATTGCTTTTATTGTAATGCCAAGTATACCTAAAACAACAGACATACTAGTAACTATTGGAAAACAGAAACTGATCCCAATAAAGTGATTCAAAAGTGTTTGGTCTTTTTTTAAAAATAAACTTTCCACCTACTTAACCACTTCTACTGCTTCTCCACACAATAAAAACATCTTTCTGAAAACTAGAACTTTAAGAAAAATAGATTTTAATACCCCAAAATTTTTATTAGGTATAGCCAAGGTTACAGGATGTTACATGACCTTTGCCCTCTGCTCTGTATGGCCAAACATCAGACAGACACCACTAGTGCATAGTTTCTGCACCTGCCTTCATAAAGACCACATAAAGCACTTAGAGGTGAAAAGACACTAACATGATGAACCGAACACACTCTCAGGTGAAAAAATACAGACACTGGACCAGTTAAAGTCAGATTTAACCAGATAAAAAAATCACATTTATGATTTTTAGGGGAAATTAGGTGTATGTTTTACAAGACAATACTTAAAAATGGATTCAATGTGTTACTTGCAGTTTCTTTGTTTTTGCCAAATCAAAACTGTTTTATTTTGATGTTCCTGATTTGATTATCTTGCATTGAACAAGAACTAATTTGCAAATCGGGATGCTAAAGTCCAGTGCTGCCTCACACTGAGGTTTAAATACTAGTTGGTAAGTTTCACCTTGAGTGTTAACCAGCAGTGACTTGATGTTTACATGCTGATATTATTGATTGCTCCCTGTTTACTTCTTTCGTCACCCTCAAGTGGCGTCCCCTGCTGGTCAGACTCAGGTTGGTTGCGACAGCTCTCATTCGGCCGGAGGGGCGGGACGTCACTGTCAGGTCTCCTTGATGTGGTTGTCCTGCTCCTTCAGGCCCTGTCAGGGTCAGGAGGCCGGAAGAGGCTCATCACAGTGTCAGAGACCTGCCACGCGCCCGTTGCCTTCTCCGCCAAAGAGCTGTCGTCAGTGTCAGCATCAGCTGGCCACAGGGGAATCTGCCCCCTGCTGTCAGCTGTACTGCACTTTTCACCTGCTGTGCTTTGCTCAAGGCCGTTTCATCATTGGTGTTTCAACAGCCACCTGACCAAAGTCGACCTGGGATAGGACCTGCTGGTCCACATCAACCTGCTGTTGGCCTCGGTGGTGGTGATGGTGGTGGTGGGGATGATGGTGGCCATGTCTGTGCCTTTCCGCCTCTCCTTGATGCTCGTGATGACCATGTTCATGATGACCATGATCTTGACTAGGTTCTTCTTCCACCGGTTTATTCACTTCTTCTGTGGCTTTCTTGCACTCTTCAAGTTGCGCTGAACTCTGTAATAACAAGGCAAAAATTGCACGTTGAAAGTATAGCATGCACTTTCAAAATGTTTTTATGTTGTCAGTGCCTTTTTGTTATTTAAAAAATATTAATAAATACTTTTTTTAACGTTTTCTAATTGCTGTGACACACCAGAGTGGGTTTCACAGCAGGTAGAACTCATAAAACTAATAACTAGACCTGGTTCCTTAGAACTAACTTTCCTGAGACCATTTTTTCTAGTTGCATTCTCACCACCAGCTGTAGAAACACTGGGAACAGCTGTGGCAGTAAGATGTTAGACAGTTTAGGACTTTGGGTCTAGTTGGAGGTTTCGGGTCCAGGCACCAGCAGGGATTGTAACCAGAACTCTCTTCCACCCTCAATGTATGTAGAATGGAGCAAATATAAGGCTGAAAAGAGGCTGGGGAGTCACTTCAGTTCAGTCAGAGGCTGAAGCCAGATGCTGTTTAGCATGGGAGTGGGGAGAGTGAGGGAACACGTTGACCATCATTTGGAGATGGGGGAATGAGAAATTCTCCAGTGCCGCCAACTGCGAGTGGGGATCTTTAAGCCACAGGCAACTGTGAAATTTATTTCCCTCACTCTTCCATCTCTTTTCTCTCACCTCAACATATATTTTCTGTAATGTTTATAGTGTGCGTTTATATTCTACAAGTACTCCTTCATTTAACTTTTTATATAATTACATGTAAATGTTTGCATTTCTTTTATTAAGTTTGTTCTGTGTTTGAAATAATTGAAACAGTACTGTTGTTGTGGCATGGCGACATCGTGTGGTCAACATCTTAACGTGACATTATTGACTGGAACTCTACCTCATTTCAAACGCGCCACTTCCTTACCGCCTTCTTTTCCTGATATGGTGTTGAGCGCACTCAATTATCTGCGCATGCGCAAACCAGAAGACGTTCTCGTGTGCATAATTCACAAATAATTTTATTATACCTTTATACGGTCTTGACACCTACCTAATAGCGAGTACCATTCAAGTGAGTAAATGAAAGTAATTGCATTATTATTTCATATAGCTTCTACAAAGCAGCTTAATTTCTTAGTTTTTGTCAAAACACTGCAATATCCCTTTTTGTAAAGTTAAAATGTTTTGATTTTCATTTTTATGCACCACAGTAATTAAAAACATATTATATATATATATATATATATATATATATATATATATATATATATATATATATATATATATATATATATATAAACCGCTAACGTGGAGCATCGCAAAACCAAACTTTAGCTTTTTTCTAATCACTTTAGGTGATGGTTACCTCCAGGCTGCACTCTCCGCAAATGCGATCACAGTATGTATGTTTTATAGCCTCCTCCACATGTGGGTGGCTCAGGATGGTGTAGGGAAGTGACAGATGGTAAGTCAGTCGGCCACACCTGGTTGACAAAGATATTTAGTGACATATTGATAAAGTTGTACATTCATGTTAAGTGAATTCAACTGGATAAGCCAAACCTGTCATAGACCAAAATGTCATCCTTCTCAGCATTTACAGCCTGCCAGGCGTCCGGCTGGCTGAGGTCTTGGGCGTAGAGGGTGATGTTCAACAGCCTTTCTTGAAGCAGGTGGTGCAGCCGCTGGGACCTTTCCTCACGGTTGTTTACCACCATGTAGGCTATATTTGGATAACCCTGCTTCTCCAGCTTCAGGAGCAAGTCATTAAGCCTTGAAGAAGAACATTCAACAAGCGAGATTAGATCAATACGCCTTGTGTAAACGCTACAGAGTGTTTAAGAATGAAGGGTTTGGGACACATTAAAGATTGAGTTTCGATATAATTGTCTGCACTGACTTTGATGCTTGCTCCAGACAGAACAATCAGCTGGCCTGGAGGTAAGCCACCACTGTCACTTGTCCAAGAGCGTTCTTCATGGGCTCCACATCCCCAACCTTCCACTCGGGAGGAAGTTTACAGCGGGCTCCTTCTGTTTCGCTCTCTGCACTGCAGCCCACCAGCAGGCAGAGAGCCAAGGTAAGGCTGAGTGCCTTCCACATGACTCCAAACAACAGACCCACTAACCTAAACACAAAAGATCAACTGTTTAGACATCAAAAAACAACATAATTTTTTTCCAGAGCAGACACCTGAAGTGTAATATTCTTATTGATAGTAATATCATGTAATGTAACATAAATTTGTTAAATCTGTTAAATTAACTTAATCGATTTGTGCTGAGGTGAATGAGGTGAATGAATTGGTGAATGAATTGTGTGGAACCCAGCAGATAATATTATATTTCCCAAGTGATGTTTAATGGTGTAGGAAACTTCACAATATAGGCTATCCAATAATTTTTTTTATTCTGGAAAAAGTCGTATTTAGACATTTTAAACAAATATTAAAGTCAAAATTATTAGCCCCCTTAAGTTTTTTTTAAATAAGATACGTTTAACTTTTTTTTTTTCAGAAAAAAAAACTGTTGTTTAGTAACTTGCGATGCCTAATTAATGTATTGTACCGAGTAACCTAATAACATTAAGCCTTTAAATTGCACTTTAAGCTGAATACTGGTATCTTATAGTACAACTAGTTAAATAGTATATACTGTCTTTATGACAAAGACAAATGAAATTAGTTATTAGAAGTTCAACTATTATGCTTAAATATGGTTTGAAATAATTTTCTCTTTGTTAAACAGCACTTAAAAAATATTTCAAAAAGAATAACATTTTCACACACAATATTTATTTTTTTATTTTAATAACATTTGTATTTCAGATATATAATAACTTATTTTTCCAGTAATAGGTTGCAGCTGGAAGGGCATCCGCTGCGTAAAAAATATGCTGGATAAGTTGGCGGTTCATTCCACTGTGGCAACCCCGAATTAATAAAGAGACTAAGCCGAAAAGAAAATTAATAATAACTTACATAATGATAAAAAAAGATATGCAGCAGTGCGCTCTAATCGTTTGTTTATCTAATCGTATCCATTCTATATTGGCCATATAAAATTCATGTACATAAATACCTGTAATTATGGTAATTAACCCAAATTTACTTATCAAAATCGTAAAAAGCCAGATTGGGTCAAGATCCATAGTCCACCCAGGTAATATAAATTTGCAACATGAGTTATCAAAGCCAGACTGGTGCACAGATAATGCATTCAAACCTACGTAATTACCAAACAATATTAAATTATATTATAGATAATGCACACCCACACAACAGCATCTGAACATAAAACTATAAAAAAAAATTTTTTTTAAAAGCTGACAAGAAAAATGAAAAACTTTAGATTGGGAGCAAAAATGTACTAATAACTAAATGTTCTGCAGTAAAAACATACTACTTCATTACTGCAATGGCATTAAGTAAATAGTTGTTGTAGTAATTAAGGGATCTATGATCATGCAAAAAGAGGGTATTAATAAGAGCATTATTTAAAACAATCAGCAAATATACTAGTAATATGCTATATTAATTAATGTGTTTTCCTAATGTTTTACCAATGTGTCGTAGCTGTAAAGTACACTTACTTGTTTTCCTTGAGGGTCTTCAGCAGCGAAACTTTCTGAGCTAGTTCTTGACAAAAACAACCCTCCTCTCACACGGCTCCTCCTATTTATACTCCTCTTGTTTTTCCTGACTAAAAGCGGGGCAAAGGTCCCTCTGTCCTTGTTTCGAAAACTTTAATATCTCACGTACTCGCCACAGAAGTTACACGCATCAGCAGTATATCAGTAACCTCCGTATGTGTTTTAAATGGAAAAAGTTAAAGCTTTGAGCTGAAAAAAAGCAGAAAGTTTAAGTGGATTAGTGGATTAGTTATGTATCCCTGCCAAAGTCTGTTTGGATTTTATTTAACCTAAATTAAATTTTCTACATTTTTAATTTATTTATCTGTGTCTTATGTATGGAAAAGTAATAATTAGCAGCAAAATAGTTTTGTTTTTACCAAAAAGTCTCCAGGCAGCAAACTGTTAAATCTCACTGCATTCCAAACTTCTGTTTCCCTAGAGAACTGAAAAGGGGGGGTTGAGTGCAACATTGAAAAGAAATGACAAGCAATTAAGTATGAAAGCACTGTGTACGTGTTTATTAAAGCATTAACTCTTAACTAATCATTGATTACTGTGCATGTATTTGCATGCTCCTCTTAACATCCTTTATTTTTTGTTTGTGCAGCAGTGCACAGCTGTTTCAGAGTCAGCACTTTTTTCCTGCTGAGATCAAACTTTGAAGCTTCCTGTCTCTGCTGAACTTTCATAAACACCCTGTTTTTACATTACTGTAAGATGGAACAATGATAGATAAAATATATTGGCCTTGGACACAGTGTTAAAAACTTACATAAACATTCAAAAAACATCACATTGTCTGTGTCCTTGTACCTGAGTTGTTTCTGATTTATCAATTAGTTAATTTACATAATCAAGTCTCATGACCTGGAGGACGTTTTGACCTCCTAGAGATGTACTTTAGATACAGTTAACACGCATTACTGATTACTGCAAGCTAATGGTTAACTCTAAAGTATTATGAAATCACTCAATAAAATAAAATAAACCCTAAAACTTCATGTCCTTAAAAACAATATACTAGGCTCACCAGCCACTTTATTAAGTACACCTTGCTAGTACAGCTGATTTGGTGTGAATTCAAGAAGGTGCTTAAATGTTCCTCAGAGATTTGGTATATATTGACACGTCAACATCACATACAGGTTGCTGCAGATTTAACGACGGCACATCCATAGTTGGAATCTCCAGGTTTAGCACATCTTAGATGTCTGATGAAAGATCTGGTGACTATAGAGGTCATTTGAGTTTATGAACTCTCTCATCTTCAAAACCCAGACTGAGATGATTTGATATGTGTGGCATTATTATTATCCTACTAGAATTATGCACCATCCAACCTTATTGGTCATAAAGGGATGGACATGATCAACAACAATACTCAATACTCAACAGTGCCTCAATGCTAAAATGTTTGGCGTCCAAAGTGTGTCAAGAAAATATCTTTCACACTCATTCCACCACCCCCTCTCTAAAATGTTATTAGAGGACAGAATGGAACCATGGTTTCATGTTAAATGCACCAAAATCTAACCCTACCATACGAATGTCACACTACTCCTTAGTTTCTTTCCACAAGCTGTTAGAGCCCTCAACTCCAATCACATTAACATCTTCTGAAATATTCTCCACAATATTAGCTCCCAAAATCTCCACAACACCACACAAAAACCTCAAAACATATTGCCATTCCCAGTGTGCCGCATACTGGTGAGGGGGCTTGACAAACCACCTGTAGAAAACACTCTCTATCATCTCTTTGACATTTTAACTGACACTTTCAACAGTTTGCACATTTACCCCAGACACTTTCTTACAATCACTGCATATTTCTTGAAAAGCATTGTGCATTTCTGAGTGTGCTTCACAGGTGAGTGGGTTTGACAAACCACCTGTAGAATCACTTATGCACCGGACACTTTACTTAAAGGACCATGAACCATGACCTGTCTGTCAGATGAAGAACTGGAGTCAGAGATTCAAAAAAATAAAGTTTACTTAAGATAGTTTGCAGTTTCATCAGCAGAAGCCATCAGATGAATATACACGCAAGAGACAATCTGTTAATAAAACCCAAGGTTGTTTCTTCGTACTTTCAGCTATCTTATCAAACTTATAAACAGCATTCAGGCTGCTATACAAAAAGTCTATCTTGAATAAAAAGGAAAATCACTTTAAACAGAATGAAAACATAATAATATCAAAATCACTTTAGACTTTAGAATCATCAAGATCTTCAGTTCCACTCGTGGTCTCCATGACCTCTGACCTATTGTAATGCCCTGCTACATATGCTATTTGTAATTTCATATACACATAAACACAATTTGTAATATCATTATAAAGTTGATCGAGTTTATACAAACACTATTAATGAGGTGGACTTCTGTCCTCCTGAATCCCCTCGTCTGAATGCAGACAGACTGCGGATAGCAGTGCAGCAGGTCTCTTTCCCTGTCTATTTCAACCATTAGCCCTGCCGGCAATCTGTATGATTTTAATGATAGGCAAACATGGCAACATGGATATAGGCGATGTGTCTGAATGGTAATGAACTCAACTGATAAAACACAAAGTCCACCATTCTCCAATTCTCGTACAGCTCTCTCAACAAAAATACTTGCTACAAACCAACAGCTTTGCTGTATCGGCCCCTGACAGCATCTCAGGAAAAAACATGTAACAAACCCTGGTGAGCGCGGTCTCACCCAGTCACTGAGTCTTACAGTTTGGCAGCTCTGCCCTGCCTTCAGAAAGCATCTGCTCTCATGAATATTTAAGAAGCAGGGTCTTCTCATAAGAAAACTCCGCTATGAATAATCATGAGAAACCGACACGTCATCACTCCACTTGTCGATTTTGATCCCGTCCCAAAAATTATTTAAAACCCGAAAGATGAAATTAGCTGACAAAAGCTCAAATTATCCAGTTTTCCCCACAATAAAAGCTGACAGTAGCTAACGTTGTCTTAACTGATGCTCAACACACACAAAACTGTTAAAATCTCAAAAATAAATACTCCAGGGTGTCTTGAACCTTTAATATGAAGGTATTTTTGGTGCAAAACTCCCAAGCAGCTGTAAAAGTGTCATTTGTAGTTGTAAAAAATAGCCACACATGTGTATCAGTAAATTTGTACTCGCAGAGCAAATTTGCAAATGCGTATCAGTAAATTTGTACTCGCAGAGCAAATTTGCAAATGTGTAGGTATTTTTTGTCTCCAACAAACACAACGCAACATTTACACCTGCACAAATTCTTCAGTACAGGTGCACAAATCCCATCGGACGAATCACAAATGCAGAAACTCATCCGCTCATGTTCTTTGCTACTATTGTTGCAGTGAATATGGTGCAAAACACATTCACACACCTGCATCCAGAAATGTGAAGTCACAGACAAAACTTGCACATCTGTAGATTAGAATGTGTATCCGCACAAAGAGAGCTGAACGTGTGTAGAATGTTTGATTATTTTTTTTCTAAGCACGAACACAAATATGTTCCTGCAACTGCTCAAATCTGCCGCTACGAGTCTCAAGCGCTGTTTTTCACTTGCAAATCTACATTTCGCTCTCTCGCTCTTCTGCACCAAAAATCACTGTGACATTTGGTGCAAAAGTTACTTGTGTATCTGCCAACCAAAACGTGGGCTCTCAGAGAAATTCAGCCAATAGGGGATGGGGCGTGACGTCACCGTTCTAGCGCTGCGGAGGCTGAACGTCGAAACCGAAACCCCCTTTGCGAGATTCGCTGCATCTATACCTAATTTGCGTTCAAAAATGCCTGCTTAATTATTTCATAGTAGGAGCAAACATGCCTTAAGAAAAGGAGTAGGTTTGAAACTTTAGTAACCATAAAAAGTACGCCAGGTGGATGCCTTTCTACTCCAGGAAGCCGCAGCCTACGGCCTGAAGGAGGAAGAGGACGCGGTCAGTTTGAAATGTGAGTATTAAACCAAAGACAATTCTTTGTGTTAAACTCGTATTTGTTGAGCTACTGTACAGTGCACTGTAGAATTGCTGAGGGTGTAAAGAGGCTTTAAATTATAGTCTATTTCATTTCGCTGTAAATGTTGACTGTGTAATGTTACGGTCTCCAATCAGCACATATAAAGTAACGTTTCAAAGGTAAAAAAGATTATTATCAAATGTCTGACAGAAAAATGTGAAGTATTGCAGATCACAAGACTAAACAGACATCTGAGTGAGTGATGTATTTGTGCTGATGTAGAATCTGCTGTCAATTGACTGTTGCCAATACTGTTTAAATTAGATACATGTATTCTTACTAAAAGAGAATAAAGGGTCATTTGTTTAATCTGTGCATCAGTATATAGTTGATCACTTGAGGATTTGTGACCGCGTGAGCTTCAAAAAAACACGTTTTGGCAAGCCAGACTCATTTACAATCTTGATTAAATATTAGATAAATATTAATTAAATATTAAATTAAATATTAGATTTAAATATAAAAAATATTAGTTTTAATAATTTTAATCAATTCAGGCTGCAAAAGATGAAAGAGAAAGTAATTCAGCATAGAGCGCAGATTTCTGTGCGCATCACGCGTCTGAACGCGCATTACCAAATGCACCTCCCTTTAATATCAGTTCATGCAGTCGTATTTCATACAATAGAAAGTCTTAAAGAACACAAACAGTTAAACAGCACTGTGAGATAATCAGTAGATGTATTGGGCCCGCTTAAACATTATAGCATTTTTCTCACGGAAAGAGCAAATATTAATTAGTCTGTTAATGACGCACAGAAACGGACAGATCACAGGCAGTTTCAGTAGTAAAGTTCGTGCAAAGTGCAACATACACAATTCAAACACCAGTGCAAAGCACTTTGTTGCAGTTTGTGTCAAAAACATCAATATTTTATATAGACACATATCCACACATAATCTTGCTTTCGCTTTGCTCTCTCTAAATGCGCGCTCTTCTCTTGACGCGCGCTGCTGTGTGTACCTCATCTGTAAATTTGGAGATGTTAGTAACTGAACTCATTTCAATAT